TGGATAAGCAGCTGCCATAACTTACAGTAAAATGCTACAGACACAAAGCAGTCCCTGTGAGCCAAATATATATATATATATATATATACATATACATATATATATATATGATGTGCAAGATATACAGCTAAGAAAGCCTCTGTAGGCTGCCTTCTTCCTCCTCAGCAAGTTTAAAACTGTTGACTGAATATCCTACTGAAATGTTAACATCTTTTTTACTTGGGTGTTCCTAAATATCAGCAGGCCTCTAACATTATGCCATAAAAACCTTTATATTCATTTCGAATGAATGTATATGACCATTCCTTCTGAAAGCTGGTTTGTCCAAATGTTGTTCTTCTCTGCTTCATGTGACTTTAACCTAAATGATGAAGTATGATGGTTTTTATCCCTGACAATGGGTGAAATTTCAAGAGCAAAACTGAGTGTTTGTTCTAATACTTTCCTTGTGTTTTTTTTTTTTATTATTGGGAATGTTAAAGTAGCTAGCTGAGTGAGGAGAGCAGAGAGCGGTAACTACTTTTCCCCTATTAATACCTAGATTTTGACAACTATGAAGTATAATCCAAGTTTCTGAGACTACTGGGCTACAATAGATGGGAAGAAATTGCAGAGACACAGCTCCCTCTCAGGTTCACTTTCCATGATTATTTATTTAGAGACTTTAAAAAGCTTCACAGAAATGAGGTGGCTTCATTGCTGAGGAGAAGTAGCTAGTCTCAACAGCACTTGCCTTGGCGCCCAGGATCCCCCCCAGGGGAGGGCTTCACCAGACTGTGGTTTTGCTCCCAAGTGATGAGACCACAGAGAATATGAACAGCTGAACTCTTCTGATGACCCAGCATCCTTCTCCTATGAGCCTGAAATAAGTCTATGCCCTTACTAGGAAATCTGAACCGACGCCCAAGACCTCCCTGGTTCTCAGGCTGAATTCTCTATCAATATGAACAAAGTCTTGATACAAAGGGAGTATCCAAGTGTCCTAAGTGCTATTTCTGCCGCCAGAGGTAAAGAAAGACCCATTTTTTTTTTTATCATTTCTCATGTGATTCTGCTCTAGTAGCCTTAGGTGTGCAGTGTCTCTGAATTTGGTCAGAGAGCCAGTTCCAAATCTATTAAATTCTAGGTTCCTAATTTCTCTTGATACAAGCTGTATAGGCACAGGAGGGAAACAGGTAGGGTGAGGTTAGAAAGGTGCTTTATGGATCCATAAGGAAATCCTAGGTAAGAAATGCGGAATGGTCCCGGATATGCAATCAGGATTTGCAGAAGATAATCTTCTCCAATGTTCTTCTCTCCCCTAGCCCCTTTGCTTTACTGCCTAGTATATCTCAAGACCCAATGCGAAGTGTTCACCCATCCCATAGTTTAGAACATTTAAGAGATTTTTCTCCCTTCTTTCCCAGGCTTCCTACTTCAGGAAACTACATGTCCCACCATCCCTGCCTTTCCTTCCTTTCCTCAAATAAAGTCTCAATTGAATTCAGCCACTTCATCTCCAGCCCTCTACTTTCAATCTTTACTGCCTGGGGACAAGAACCTAGGCTTGCTCTAACACTCTGATGTCTTAGGCCAAGAATCTGATGAAAAGTTCTGAATGAATTATTACTCAACATAGTTATAGGAACCAAGGAGAAATTGCTGAGCTTCATGTTTGCTGATTCCACAATCATACTCTCGAATCTTTAGTGAGGATTACTATTCATCAGGAAAGGTAATATACTGAGGATGATCATGAAATAAATAAGTCATTTCCTGCCCTGAAGTTACCCAGAGGAAGAGAAGGCTGATGGCAGTTTCACATGGTAATATGTGTTGCAATGGATTTTGTGAAAAGACGAAGGTCCCTGTAGCAGAAAGGATCAAGCTTTGGTTTGAACTGACTCCGTGAATATGCAGAGTATTATCTTTCTAGGTATCCCATTCTCTTTTTTGCATGCTCTAAGTTGAGTTCTTTTATTAAAACAAAACTTGCCTTGACCACTTCCATTCAGCCTTTGCATCCAAAATCTGGAACCCATAGTTAACAATACTAAATGTGACAAAATCAGTCAAAGTTTAGAGTCCCTGATTCTTCAAATAGCTAGGTAAAAATGACAATAATTTTATTTTATGGCACTACACATTAGGTGTTTAGTAGTATTAAACACCTAAAATTTAAATTAACGAACATAAAATTGTTAGGAAGAATTTTAAGCAAGATAGGTATCATTTTCTATTTCTATTCTCTGTTCATGTGAGAATTTGCTTTGCAAGTGTTCAATAGCTACAGCAATCGAGTAGAACTGATGCTTCTAATTTAGTGTCAGTTTAGGAGGTTGTCACCCTTAGGCTAAATAGCAAAAAGAATTACAGATATTCAGTACTGCTTACTTGGGAGTAGTCAAGTGGAATGGAAGTCAAGCAGGGAGAGAATTCAGCTGCATCTAGATGATGCTCTGCTTTTGATAAATTCGTCTGAGAAACATGCTGAAAACAGGGTCACTGGGAAGGGAAGGAATAGCCCAAAGTGAAACTGGCTCACAATCAAGGTTTGGGCTGTCACTTGCCCCTTTCTTTTGAATGTCATGCCAGTTGAGGGATGCTACCTAAGTAATCCTGTGAGGTGCTTTGTAGGTCTCCATTTCTGCACATTGCCTGGTTTCCCCTCTCTAATGCAAACAACTGACAGAGGAGTCAGGGATGACACAATTATCTGAGGAAAATTCAAAGTGCAAAGTATGCCTCCCACATTGCCAGGGAGAGTAGCAACCAACAGAAGCATGAGCCAAGATGTCTCTGGACAAGGAATTTCTGGAGGGACTTTATAGTTGCACATAAACCCAGACAGAAGTTTTGTTTATTTGTGTAAATCTTATTACATCCATACGTATGATCTTACATCAAAGTGTGTAATATTCCCATTAATTTCTGATACAGCTTGGAGATCTGCATCAATGAGGGTAGGTTAATTTTTTTGTTTTATTTTGCTTTGTTTGAAGGCTAAGTGTGCTAATTGTGCTCAGGGATTACTCTTGCCCCTGTGTTTGGGGATCATTCCTGGCAGATTTGGGGGACCAGATGGGGTATCAGGGATCAAACCTAGGTCAGTGCATGCAAGACAAGCACGTTACCCACTATACTATTTCTCCGGCCTCGAAGGGCTGATATACATACAATTTATTCCTCATAGCAAAGTCAGATTTAACTAACTCTCAGTATAAAACATGCCATCTATGCTTTAAGAAAATAAAAACTATATAAAAACACTACTATTGTAATAATTGTAATAATACACTTAATTCAAAAAAGGCTAAATACAGATTTCCCACACTATGTGAAACTAGAAGCCATTCAGAGACCAACTAGTGAAAATTGAGAAAGCAATTACCATTGATAGTACAGGCGAAAATATGGGCATTCCTGGACCCTAAAAATAATCTGTCAAATCATATCAAATACATATAAACCTCAGTTAACACCAGCAGATAATAGAAGCAGTAATGCCATGATAATTATTTAGCTTGGTAAAGTAGCTCCTAGGGAAGGAGCTTGAGGGGCTCTTCAACCCCCCTCTTTGCTATGACATCATTTCTAGAATAGCTGCTGCAGAACAGACACTGAAGCACTTGCTTCTTGCCCTTTGTGGTAAAGCGTGCATCCTCTTTAGCGTACATCTTCCTTTTGACTGCTGAAACAGGCGATGTGGGTCTTCCATATAGCAAAGTGGCTTACGATGAGTTTTCGAAAACCAGGGGGCTACCTGTACATGCACATACGTAGGGTCTTTGAAAAGTCACGGATTTGGGGGTTCTGTGACACAACAAGAATTAATCGGGGGTAACAGTTTTTCTTTGTGCGGCTAAACGACTCTCACACTCTAATGAATAGATCTGAGAATTTGGATCAGATCAGGAAGACTTTGTTGTATAGAATTTTCTTTATAAACAAAATCATACGATGTCTGAGCCATAAAAATTACAGTCAGTATTGTAATAGCTTTGGATACCTGTGAAATAAAACAGTGCTGGGTGGAGCCATGGGCAGCTGGCACCTGCCGCCCTCGAGGGCACAGAGCCAGGCTGCTTCTTGCCCTTCTTGTCCACCCCTAAAACCACCAGGAGTTTTCTTCATTTTAATTTCACTGATACTCCCACCTCCCCACTCTTTTCCTTCCACTTATCATGGGATTTCTCGAGATTCCAATTGCTACTGTTCCAAGCCATGGAGCTACTGGAAGGGTAACAGCTAGCCTGTGTGTTGGTAAGAATAAAGGGGAAAGGGAAAGAGAAAGAAAGCAGTAGGGAAAGAAAGAGCTGATGGCAGATAGTGGGGAAAAAAGCGCAGGACAGAGGCACAGGGAACCTGCAAATATGGAAAATAATCCAGAGTTTTTCTCAGAACTCACAGGTGAAAGGTAATACAATTTTTGCTAAGAAATATTAACAATTGTTTGAAATCTTTTGTAGTTAGGCTAGTATTCCACAACATAACCAATGGGTCATTAAATGTCAGGCTGTCTTTGCTATATAGTCTACTCTTAGAGGCTACTCGTGACTGCTCAGGCTTAAACCACTAGAAGAAATGTTAGTCTGAAAAATTTAACTTCAATTACAGTGTATACTCATTGGCGATGGTAGATATTATTGTTATAGTTTCCTACTTGTTACCCATTTCTTATATTTAATTAATTGTAAACAAAGAGTTGTCTTAGAAGCTCAAGCTTCAAGACTATTTACTCTGTTACTAACCAACAGTCAAATCTTGAACTCAAGACCCCTGTGCTGTAACTGTTTAATGTATTACAATGCTTTCTTGTATAAATACTTATTATTCTAAATATTTTTTGGAGTAAAGCAAATACCCAATTCTGAGGTGTCTGCTGAAAAAGAAGTCTTTCATAGCAGGAGAGGGAATTTGTAAAATACCTTAGGTTTTAGATTTGTTTCTTTTACTTTCCTAGTTCTATAAAGGTATGTAGAGTTGTTTAGATAAATAAAGGTATTTTTTTCCCATTGCAGAGAAATAGGATTTACCAGTCTCTGAATGAAGTGCTTGAGGAGTCTTTACATGCCATAGTCAACTGCAATTTCAAAGAAGAGAAAATAGATGATTTCGGAAAGTTCATGCTGTTTCTTCACTGAATTTTAGGTGAGTGTGTCAGAAACAAAAGTGAATCTTGAATTGTTTCCCCTGAAAGTACCACTCTCTTTTTAGCATGAAAACTAGGGTTAAATATCATGAATGTTTTATACTTTTAGTGAGGTACCAGACAGTGAAAGACTTCATTTCTATGCCTCTTGTTTATTTTTGAAAACTTCTCTAAACTATAGGGTGTGAGGTATTGATAGGTCTCTGACATCTCTTCTTGGTTTCTGTTAAGCAAATCACTTACCACTTTATTCTATTCTAAAGGTCATCTAATTTTCTTACTGTATTAAAGTATTAAATATAAGAGTAATAAACCAAAATGAGACAAAACCGTGTTTGGGGAAGCTTTAATGAGAGAAACATTCAAAGATGTGCTGAAGTTTAAGAATTTTAATCTTTAATAAGTCTGAGTGTAAGGTACCCTGTCAGAGGGTGCCCACTGAGGGATTTCATAACACCTAACATAGGTGTGCCTTAGTGTTGGCATAGTATTGAAGCTGCAGGGTATAATTCAGCGCAGACATGTGCACGCAGTCTCAGCTATTTTTTTTTAATTTTTGGCGGGGTCATAACAGGAATGAATAAGTTTCTTACATCATCACACGTAATTACCTTTCATGCTGTGAGAGACAGGAGCCAGCAGACGGGAGCTTTACTGTTAGTCTGCTATATGCTGTTGTTCTTTCTGTGCAGAACAGAAAAGAATGGAGGAATTTTGTCTTGCTGGGGACATTGTGTGACTCCCTACCTTCTCTTGATTACAGTTTTCCCCAGGGTAGTTTTATTATTTACTTGAAAGAATAGTGAACTTATAAACACTAGATTATACCTCTATTCACAATTCTGATAAAATAATGTAACTGACAGAGCCTTTCATTCTAATTATAATGCAAAAGGCAGATGTGTATCCTTTAAATTTATTTTTTAAATTATTTTAAATTTTAATTTTTAAATTTATTTTTTATTTGAATGCCACACCTGGCAGCACTAGGGGCTTACTACTGTTTCTGCTCTTAAGGATCACTCCTAGTAGGGCTGTGGGAACCATATCGGGTACTGGGGATCAAACCTAGGTTGGCCACATGCAAGGCAAGTGCTCTGCTGCTATACTATCTCTCCATCTCTGATCCTTTATACACTTCTGATTAATTATGAAACATAGGTGAGAAATTCTCTATCATCTTGGGGTATGTAAATTTGATTTATTGAAATGTATAGCTATTCATTGAATACATTTTCTCTATATAACTAGAGAGCCCAGCAAGCTACTGAGAGTATGTCACCCGCACGGCAAAGCCTGGAAAGCTACCCGTGACATATTCGATATGCCAAAAACAGTAACAAGTCTCACAATGGAGACATTACTGGTGTCCGCTCGAGCAAATAGATGAACAATGGGAGGACAGTGCTACAGTGCTATATAACTATATAGAAATATGTATATATAGATATATGTATATATATTTCTATATATAGATGTATATTCTCTATATAGATCTATATAGATATATCAAGAGAGCTACACATATATATATCAACCTAGATTTAAGTATCTATATAGACACACAGAGAAAGAACTAAAATGTTATTTCAGGTAGTTACAGGATATTTGTTGAATAGAAGCTAAATTTAGTATCCTTTCAAAGTATCTGTAAGTCAGTTTGCCTTTTATAGTAGTTACTCTGAAAAAGAAAGTGAAAATGAAAACTATCCTCTTAAATCCCTAGTTTCTTTGCCTGTCTGAATCCGTTTTTCCTGTATATTCTTTCTTTGCCTGGCTTCTGCTTTGCAAGTTTCATTGGAGTTAGCTGCCATGGGCTGTATTTTCCAATCCCAATCACTTCCCCAGCAATCTGGAGCTCTGAGCTTCATCTCTTCCCTTGTCCTTGCTATTCATGAGTGGTTGTGCCTTTGGACTACTACTACTGCTGCTGTGAACCTCTAGGTTAAATCACTACCCCCCCCCCCCCAGCTTAGCTTCTCAGTTTCTCCATCATCTGTGAAATCATATTTTCTGGATGAAATTCCATCTGCTTTAAATATTTTAGGTGTTTTTTCTTGGTTGATTTCTGACAGACCCATCAGTGCTTCATTAATTTCTCCAAAATTTATTGGGAGAAAAAGTAAACATTTACTTCTCTCAAGGGACGTAAATGATTCTTAGGAAATGATATTAAAGTAAAATGTAAATTTGTTTGTCACATTAAAAACATTTTAATTTACCATATATGTAATTTATGATATATGTGTCTTATGGGCTGGAACGATAGCACAGTGGGTAAAGCGTTTGCCTTGCTGACATGGCTGACCTGGGTTCAATTCCTCTGCCCCTCTCAGAGAGCCCGGCAAGCTACTGAGAGTATCTCCCCCACATGGCAAAGCCCGGCAAGCTACCCATGGCATATTCAATATGCCAAAAACAGTAACAACAAATCTCACAATTTGTTGTGAGGCGTTACTGGTGCCTGCTCCAGCAAATCGATGAACAATGGGAGGACAGTGCTACAGTGTGTCTTATATTGTATATTGTATGTATATGAGATTGGGCCCACCCAGTAGTGCTCAGGAGCTATTCCTAGTTCTATACTTAGGGAATGACCCCTGGCAGTGCCCCAGAAACCGTATTTGGTGTTGAGTATCTAACTGGGGTTCGCCTTATGCAAGACAAGTGACTAATCTCCAGTACTGTCTCTCTGGCCCCTAACTTACTATATTTAGAGCTATGTTTTAGGTTATACGTTGTTGTAAATTTAATGTGTTGCTATTAACAAAATCAATGTTGATGTTTCCGCTTTGCCTATCAAATTAATGGGAAGTTTTTAAGTTCTAAGATAATGTGCCAAATATAATTCTTATTTTTTAAATATTCACGTTTCACAATATCCTATATTTTAGTATCCTATATATTTGCATACTAAATATAGTTAGTATATTTAGTATTTTGATACTAACTATAGGATATTATGGAATGTGAATATACCCTAAATAATTTTTTAGAGTATCTATCTGACATCTGTATTTACATTTAAACCTAGAACTCCAAATTAATTTCATTACAGATCTCACATTCACTAGTATCTTCTACTTTTTAGGATGTCTGTTTAATTCACTCTAGGTTAAATTCGGATTTAAACCTAGAGTTTCAATTTGATTTTATTATAGTTCTCTCATTAACTGCTCTTTGCTTTGTCTTTATCATAAGATTCTTTCAAGATGTCTTATGATAAGAACATTTCACATTTTTCTATAATAAATACTGAATATATTGGAAAGAAAAGTGAGCAGGATGCCAAAGTTTGTCTTTTCTGATAGGTAAACAGTTTACCATTGTCCCAACAATTACTTACTCTTTAGGACTTCCCTTATATTAAAGTCGTTTTACAGTTAAACATTTTGTACTTCACCTGATTGTTTATAATGAAAATTCTTGGTATTTTCATTCCATTCTCATCCATTTACACAGACATTCTCCCTTTTGTTATTTTCTCAGAGGTCACTATGACAGCTCATCTGTCCATTTTAATGAATTGTGGGGACATTCAAAAGGACATTGTGTCCCTCCTACCAACAGTTTTCATCTGTGCAGTATTAATGTGAAGCTTGCAATGCCTAATTTAGAATCTTTTTCAAGAACGTTAAATGTCATCATGAGCAGAATTACTTGGACCCTTTCAAAACAAATTTGGGTGACAGGATGAGTTTGTATGATGTGGTTTAAGAAGCCCTAAATAACTAATGTTCCCCAAACACATTTTCTTTAGTTGAATACAGCAGTGAAGTTTCTAATTATCCAGCTTACAGAAATAATGTTATAAAGTGATTTTTTAAAGAAATCTGTAATTAAGCAGCTGTAAAAAAAATTGTCCAATTGCTGTGACATGGATAGAACTAGAGAACATCATGGTCAGTGGAGTCAGGAGGAGGAAGAGAGAAACAGAATGATCTCTCAGATGTGAAATTTAAAGATACACAGTGAGGAAGCTACAATGTTCCAAGCACTGTGCTAGTCACAGGGATAAAAAGATAGCTAAAGATGGACTTCTGTCCTTAAATACATTTGATTTTTTCTAATATCATACTCTGTGTCTGGGCAGAAGTACTACAGACAGTATCTTGGTTTAAGAAATTTCCTGAGGGGCTGGAGAAACAGCATAGTAGGTAGGGCATAGTAGGTAGGGCATTCACCTTGCACACGGCCGACCAGCATCCCATATGATCCCCTGAACACTGCCAGGAGTAATTCCTGAGTACAGAGCCAGGAATAACCCCTCTGCATCACTGGGTGTGAACCTCCCCCCAAAAAAGAACTTAAGAACTTTCCTGAATGACTTGAAACCAAAAATTAAAAATCATTCCCATTGTTGCTCCTAATGTTTGAACTACACTTTCACTCTTCCTAACTCCTCCTCCACTACGTCTTTAAGATCTGGTCAGCCTGTTATCTTTTATGACAAGTGTTTCCCTTGATCCACCAAAAAAAGTCTTATGAAGTTAGATTACTTCTGCCGCCTTCCGTCTCACTTAAGTGTGCTAAGTCCTCAGATGTGAATGTTTGTATCTCTGCCTCAGGATTCTTTGCTAATTCATCAGCCTTATATTTGATGTTGTATGTATTATTGATGGATGGATTTCTCTCCCCAAGAGTTCTTTTTTAATGTGCAGGAAAGATTGTCATATAAAACTATACAATATTCTGGGAACTCACGTAATTATAGATTTATAAAGTTATCATTCTTAATGTACTATGATATATGATGCTGTTAATGAATGCGTACATCATTCTAACACCACAGAAAACACCAAAATACGTGCTTCCCTCCACCAAAGTCCCAGAGGCCCCTTTATTTCAGCCCTCTGTCTCCCCAGCTCAGTTCTATGGTCCAACTCTTTGGCTCTGTTGCACTTTGGACCGCGAGTAATTCCTGAGTACAGAAGTAGGAGTAAGTTCTGAGCACTGCTGGGTTGTGTCCCAAAAACAATAACAAAAAAGTCAAATCCAA